TCAGTAGCGCATGTGCGGATAGTGATTGATATTTTGAGAAACAAGCCTTTTTTCTTTGATAGTCAAATGCATATATGTAAAATGGATGCAACGGAAGTGAAACAGTTTAAAATAAGGGAATCTGAGTACACAATTTATGAAAAGGATTCTCTTGCCAAGTTCATAGCTCCTGCGACCGTTTTACTGGTGAGTTTGGCGCGAAATTTCACGTGCATGTGTGCGAAATACACATAGCTGATTTGAGTTAGTGGACATCGTTTACTTTTGTGTAAAAAACAAATCTGTAAGCTTTAACTTGTAATTTTCTTTCGCACAGGTTGGTCAAAGCAACTCGGGGAAAACGCGTTACATGCAGAAGCTGGTTCAGAATGGAGATGGCATGTTCACCATCCCGCCCTCTAGGTACATCTGGCTATACAACATTTATCAAGATCTTTACGACGACATAGAGAGAGACGTTCCGAACGTAAGTTTTGTGCAAGGGCTGCCATCGCGTTCTGACGTGGAGGCATGGGCCAAGAATGAGACTCATCTAGTGATACTGCTAGACGACCTGTATCACTTAATGATAAACTCGCGAGATGTGTTGGATTTGTTCGTTCTTTTGTGTCACCATCTGACGTGTACACTGGTCATTAGCTGCCACAACATATTCATGAGCTCTAAATACGCAAAGACAATGACGACCAATTTACACTACATTCTGTTATTCAAGTTACAAAACCGCCTGCAGCTCTCTACGCTCGGTACACAGTTATTTTGTCACAACAAAAAGGCTAAACATTTTGTACAGGTATACGACGCTGTCATGGAAACGGACCAGTTCAGCCCCCTTATCATCGATCTCAGTCCGCAGGCGCGCTGCTCAGATTACAAACTAAGAACGAACGTGTTACCTGGGCAACTACCAATTATATACCAGCTCGAATAGAATAGCACGAATAAACAGGGTATTTGCTTGATATAGATCAATCAAACGGTCAGTGTTTGTTTAAGCATAATTAGGCTATGGACAGAATAACCGGAGAGCTGATCTTGCTGCGTTACCTGGCAACGGCGACTCCTTATCAAAGAAAGCAGCTTCTTCGCTGCATATCAAGGCAACAGATCGATGCGATTTCAGAGATAAGTTTAAATTTATTACATGGAAACATTGAAATTTCTGACGGGGACTTTGCAAGATTGAGCAGGCACAAGAACACGTTGCGAAAATTGTCGATTAAATCAGTGGGACATTGCGCGAAACGTGATCAAATGTGTAAAGATTCAAACGGCATAAAATTGCTGATACAGGTGTTTTTAAAACATTACGACAATTGCACAGACAGCGAAACGTCTTTCAGCGGCGACGAGGACTGGTCTCGGACAAGTGCACGGAAACCCGAATTATCAAACGGGAGAGACATTTATATACCTTCAGCGGAGGGAACGTTTAACAATAATGACAACGGCGGAGGCAGGTCAGGGCTTTCGAAAATTGATACTGATTCCCCTGACCCGGTATCAACAGCTTATTCAAAAACAGCAACAGCCGAATTGCGATTTCAAAGAGCAGAATCACCGAATTGTTCACAAGACGGAGCAGAGTGTGACGCCGATTGATGGAAAACACTCAACAGTTTCATCTGAAACGCCGTCAAATTCGACTAGCGACATGATAAATAGAAATGGTGCTTCCGGTACTTTGGATAAAATCACGAACGATATTTCTAAAACCAAAGTAACACAGAATTGTGCAATTCAGTGGCTAAAACGAGCACCGCGATACGTAAACAGACTAATATTTTTATTGTATACCATATTGGAAGAAATAATAAGCGCATTTTACGGTTGCTGAGACATAATACTTTAAAATTCATTAAAATATATTTCCATGAAAATGTTTATTTTTCAAGATCATTCGTGAAAACGACGACCTGACTAGCGTATTGAAGGCGATTATTAGTTACGTTAATATCTTTAAGTACAATAACGTACATATTATTTTATGATTTTTATATGCGGTGTACCTAAGACATTTTCCAATCTACTCGTGTTATATTACACTTAATTAAGGGGATAAACCTAATTGAGACCATTTTTAGGAGATAACGCCAAATTCGTGCACTGAAGCAACGGCGGTCATCTCATTAAAATTATCTAAATCCTATTTTACCAGCTTCCTTCTATTGTTTTACGACAATTGTAGTTTGACAATTGTCTTAAGTGTATAGAATATGAAAAAAAATCTTAAAAATGTGTTAAATGTACATATTTATTTGACGGAACACAAAAGTCTCCTTCTAAACGGTAATATCAGGTTGACTTTCTCACGAAAGAAATAAACATATTCCTGAAAACAATTGTAATGCTGGTTTAGCAACATATGCGCTAATTTCTTTCTTTAAATTTGATTTAGAATAAAATATTTGGTTCTTTTACTTTCTGTGTTATTCGCTTTGGCAATAGCGTTGCACAGATTCGGCGTTTCTTTTAGGTTAATTGCACATTCCTGCGTTACTTGATATGCACGATTGAAACGCAAATTAATATTACGGAGTAATGTAAAAAAAAACTGAATATGCTTTCATATTGCATTACCGGACGCTTCCGACCTGGTAGTGTTCCGAATTTAGGAATCCTGTAAACTAAATTATATAATATTGTATGTCAGTCTTGTATGGATGATACTGTGTGTATAGACTAATCTGAGATATTTTTATACAGACTTAGCTTTGTTGTTATTGTTGAAAATAAATGTGCTATTTAAAGTTAAGTCCTTTTTCCATATCGGAAAGCATGTTAGTACATAAACGCTCTTTTTTGCGGTTAGAACAGCGAAAATTACAAAGCCCCTTTCTATGTTTTCAAGCGATATTTAGATTCAAAGGTATACAACATTCTATATTTAAAAGTGATTTAGAAAACCATTTACAAAACATATATGTCTAATGCGGTGAAGTCCGTGCAATGACTGATAAAATATTACACCATAGTCAAAAGAGACAATCACGTTAATATTTCGAGTAATGTTAAAATTTCATTATTAACTTATTATCTGATTGAACTTGCCGTTAACATTAATAATTCAATAATATTTCAACTATTGAACCTTAATACCATGGATAGACGATCACGAAATGTTTCTGTCAACAATTGATTATTTGATAGCACGCATTTGATTAGAACCATGTTCCAGGTGACATTTTACTTCACCAACTTCCACGTTATGGTATGTATTTTAACACTTAATTCCATCATTTTCAGGTAAAACTAAAGTTTATTTTTTAAAATTAAAAAAAAAAATGCAATATGACATGTCGGTTTTTATTCTTCCACTTGTTCTAAGTGAATCAAAAATTTAGGTTATTTTAAAAGGATTTCTGGCAGAAAAAAAATGAAAGAGATTGGAAATCTCTCATAATTATCATCAGAAAGAACCTCTCTTTGATTAATTACGATTTATTGGTCAGCATATTTAATGGTATCATTTTGAAACGGTACTTACTTATATATGCATTTTATTTTGGTTATTTCAGAAATCATGGAAAAGATACTAATATATTTAAGGCTAGCGTTGTCTTTGATTTTTACACCAAAATGTGCAACGTTAAGTAATTCGACACGGATTTTACATGATGTTCTGTTAGATGGTTACTATAGAGATATAAGACCGTGTTTAGACTGTCTGACACCGTTAAATATCAGTGTATTTTACCACCTCACTGCACTCATCAAGTTAGATGAACTCGAGGGAGAATTACACTCGGTTGGCTACCTTAAAGTTGAGTGGATAGATGAACGATTAATGTGGAACCCAGTGATGAATGGTGTTGGAAGTATAATACTCTCTCCTCATAAAGTAAGTGCAGAATAATTCAAACCTTTCAGTTTTTAAATGAAGTAAAAAATGTCTAGCAATATATGCTTCCTGGTACAATCAGTTTCCCCTAAATTAAAGATATTTTATGCTCAAATTTGATATAAAAAGAAATTTATAATAACTACACAGTCTCTTTGAAAATATAAGATTAACATGTTTTGACTTCACACAAAGTAGATATGAGCCGTGTCATGACAAAACCAACAAAATGGGTTTGCGACCAGCATGGATCCAGACCAGCCTGCGCATCCGCGCAGTCTGATCAGGATCCATGCTGTTCGCTTGCAAACCCTATTACAAGTAGAGAAACTGATAGCGAACAGCATGGATCCTGATCAAGTATGAATCCATATGCAATAAGATATAATAGTATTCATAAATATTAGTGTTTATCAAGTATTAATCCATATGCAATAAGATATAATAGTATTCATAGATATATGTGTATCATGATTTTCGTATAAATATTGTTGAAACAGCGGCATCAAAGTTGATATTAAAATGTATAACAAAACATCTACATTTCTTTTCATGGCGATTTGGTTTGCTATCTTACAGTCTATTCCAACTAATTCAAGACAATGGTATTTGTTATATTGTACTTGGTCAGTTAGGTTGCGTTTTGTTTATTTCAAATGACCTAAACGACTGTGCATTAAGTTTAGAACAAGCCGATATATATAGAATATTAAAATGAGTGTATAGGTTCAATACTGAATTTATTGAACGAGTTGAATAAAAATTATATTAAGCAAGCCTCTGGCGAGCAAAATTTTATTTTATTCAACGAGTTCAATAAATTTTGTATTGAACCTGCACGAATATAATATTTTATTTATCACATACCCAAAATAAAGACTTTGTCATTGACGCGTCTATAGTGTAAAGCAAACATTGAGCGGTCTATGCCCGGTCATACAATACTATTTACACGGAGTTGCAAAATCGGCACGGGTAGATGTATAAACAGAAAAAAAATCTGCACTTGTCGAAATGCCAGCATGCCATCCATCATCTTGACAATATAAAATTAGTTTTCGTCAAGTTCCGACAATTTATCGTGAGTAATTACACAACTTAAATAATTGTAAGTGACCTATCCTATATGTTTTTTTTTCAGATTTGGGTACCATCTTAAACTGTAGGAAATCCGTCGAGAGAAATAAGCGTTCTCAATGCAGAAAAAACTCTCGTGCGAGTTATGTACAACGGTACAGTTATTTGGCACCCAGGAGACGTTTTCAAAACCACGTGTTCCTTCGATATTTACAGATACCCGTTTGACAAGCAAATTTGTTACGTTATATTTACTCCTTGGTCATACCTTGCAAACGAGGTTAGGTTACGTGCAGCAGACGATAACATCGATACGTCATTTTATCAGGAGAATGGACAATGGGAGTTGCTATCATTGTCTTCAGAAGAGTACATACAAAACGACGTGTCCTTTGTACAGTTGAACATCAGGTTTCATAGAAGATCGAGATATTTCGTCGTGAACATCATCTTACCGATCTTTATGTTGGCATTTCTGAATTGCTTAGCATTTGTGATTCCAGTTGAAAGTGGCGAGCGAATATCGTATACTGTTACATTGCTGTTGTCATTTGCCGTTTTTATGACACTTGTTAGTGATAATGTACCAAAAACCTCATCTCCAATGTCCCTTCTTTGTTATTTTCTCGCTGCATTATATACAGGTAGCGTTTCCATTATGATCGTGATAATGTTAAACATGAGACTCTTTTACAGAAACTCTTCAATTAAAATGTCACCAGTATATGTTTGCATTTACAGATTGTGTTGCCGACGCAAAAAAAGAAGGCAGACGCGTGTCAATAAAATCAAGCCTGATGGAAGTGTATGTACAAGTGTAAAGACAAATTCTGAAGACAGTGAGGCTATAAATGATATTTCTTGGCAAGAGTTGGCAGAAGCTTTAGATATTGTCGGGTTTATACTATCATTGTTATATTATATATCAATATCCATCGCGGTAAACTTGATGTAATGAGCTCGTAGTACAACATACTATATATTGTTGTACAATTTGATTAATATCTGCTCCTAATTCTTACACGACCCGCATTTTTCCCCAAAGAAGAACCGAAAGTGTACACGTCGTGTTATTATGCAATAAAATCAGAGTTTGACGTTCTATGTTTAGACAAGTGACGTAAACATTATACACGTGACGTTACCTCTAAATATGTGACGCGCTGAAAATAAGTACGGAAACAAATCAGGCGCAGTTTAAGTTAATATTAAGTACGGCAGCATGTTTTGTTGATATCGTGTTAGAATCGAAATAATATTTATCACACACCCGTGCCGATTTTGCGACTCCGTAAATATGGTATTGCACGGCCGTGCATATATTATTACGTGACGTCATTAGCGTTATACAAACATAGTGTAAAGACGCACTAAATGTTAGCGTTATACTATAGGCGCGTCAATGAAAAATGACTCTCATTTCACTTTAAACGGTCTTTATTTTGGGTATGTGATAAATAGAATATTAAATTCGTGTAAGTTAATTACTGAATTTATTGCACTCGTTGAATAAAATCATATTATGCTCGCCAGAGGCTCGCATAATATAATTTTATTCAACTCGTGCAATAAATTCAGTATTGAACTTACACTCATTCAATATCCTCTATATCCAAATCAGTGATTTTATCGCTTGATTACACCACTGTTTGTCGTTCGGATGCGCATCATTATATCACTCGGGCTACGCCCTCGTGATATAATTCCTCGCATCCGAACTCCAAACAGTTAAATAACGCTACGAATTAAGATCTGACGTTCAGCAATAGGTTGTCACCTTCTCGTGATTTGTCAAACAGTCAATCATTGGCGAGCTTTCACAATTTTGAAAGTTTTATTAAGCTAGTACGGTACTATCACCCAATTACCGTCATTTAATCAGTTATTATCTAATATTGAACCAACAAAAACATGTGTTAACAATATTGTTTCAGGTTTTAGTAATATCATTATAAAGGTTGATGATAATTACTTTTTAAAAACATTCAATACATCGTATAATACATGTTTTAATGATTTACCTGTAATCAGCTGTGCAGACTGGTTTGATAGGGAATGTGCTATTGCTAGAAATAGGTATCTTGAATCTTTACGGGTTTTTAATAATTGTCGAACAGATGTCAGTCGAATACATTTTTGTGAATGCATACAAAAGAATTATCCAAAGAAAAAGAAACGCTTATAAAAAACGAAAGATACAAGAGGTTGAAAGGCTTAGACATTGTCAGCCAAAAGCTTTCTGGAAGTATTTTAAAAATAACGCATCAACGAAAACTTCGATTTCTTTGGATGATTTCTTTCAATATTTTACTAATCTTGAGAATGATACTTTTTCATGTTATAATGCTGAATGTGAAAATTTCTTTGAAACTCATAATTTTGACAGTGGCTCTGCACATGAAGAATTTGACCGACCGATAAGTCCCAAGGAGATATTGAAAGCAGTTAAAAATTTGAAATCTAATAACGCATACGGAATGGAATGTATGCTAAAATAGTACTTTATAGAAACTATAGATATTTTAACCATTTGTTATTTCTGATGTCCTTTTAGACTCTGGTGTATTTCCCGAGCAGTGGAAGGAAGCAATAATTGTACCTATACATAAAAAGGGAGATAAAAATGATGTAAACAATTATAGAGGTGTAACTTTATTGAGTTGTTTATCTAAGATCTTCACGTCAGTGTTGAATGATAGAATTGTAAATTTTTGCGATAAGAATCAGGGTATATCTGATTCACAATTTGGATTTAAAAAAGGTAGTTCAACAATAGATGCTATTTTTGCTTTAAGTACTTAAGTTTGGCACTATCTTAACCACATAATAAGCGTTTATATTTAGGTTTCATATATTAAAAAAAATGTTTTGATTCCATTTACAGGAATGCATTATGGTTTAAACTTTATAGATCAGGTGTACAAGGGAAAGTTCTTAGTATTATTAGAAACATGTATGGTAAAGTCCTGTGTTAAACATTGTAATTCTTTTTCTGACTTTTTTTGAATATGCGATAGGTCTAAGACAAAGGGAGATAATGTCACCAGTTTTGGTTTCTTTGTTTTTAGAAGATATAGAATTGTTCTTACAAGACAATATAAATAGTGGACTACTCATAGAGGATATTGTTATTATTTTATTGCTTTTTGCTGATGACATGGCAATTTTTGGAAAAACACCAGACGAATAACAACACAATCTTGATCTTTTGCATACATACTGTTGTCAATGGGGAATTGAAGTCAATGCACTAAAAATAAAAATCATGTTTTTTTTAAAAAGGGGCGGTTTAAAACGAGAAAAAAATGAATTTATAATTGTATAAATGTAGAAGTTGTAGATAACTTTAATTATTTAGGCACTTTGTTTTCTTTTAATGGTAACTTCGCGTTATATAATGAATACTTATCAGGAAAAGCAATTAAAGCGTCAAACGTTTTGTTGTATAATATTAAAGATATACCACTAAGACCAAAAGTGTTGTCTTCAAAAGTAAAGTTAATAATTGTTTCAAACAGGAATGGTTCGGAGCTATCAATATAAATAGTGTACAAGCTTTCTAAATCAACATTTGAGTATAAAAATACCTGAATCTTGTACCACAAAACATACGATTTTTTATTACGAGACTGAGAATTTCTGCTCATTCCCTGCGTATCCATATAGGTCGATTTGGTGTTAATAGGATACCCAGAAATGAACGATTATGTTTGTATTGTAATATTCATGATATCGAAGATATATGCCACTTTGTTTGTATTTGTCCTTACTATAGACGTATTACAGTAAAATATATAAAACAATATTACTATGCCAGACCATCTGTCTTTAAATTCTATGAACTGTTAAATAGCAGCAATAAGAAAGATCTCTTTAATTTGGCTTTATTCCTAAAGGAAGCCTTTAAACTTAGAAGTGATATTGATATGATTGAACGGTGATATTGTTCATGTTTTAGTTTAATTTCACTCTCCACACATATATTTTGAGATACTTATAATGTACTTGTAATGATTGTAAAACATTGATCACTTACATATTGTATGTTTGCTGTAAATTCAGTGTTTGTAGACAATATGCTATGTATAAGTCTAAAATAAAAGAATGTTCTGTTCTGCTTGAAAGCGATGCGGTTTCTAATTTTAACCGCTTGAAAATCAATACTGAGAAGGTAATTTTCACGATTTCGAGAACACACATGTCGTTATCCATATAGCCGGGAAGTAAACTGGCAATACAATCTTGTCCATTAAAAATTGAGTCTATTATTTCCAGTTTTCTTTTTTCAAATTAGTTTAAACAATTTTTTTCTAACAAAATTCAACAATATGAGTTACTTTCACGGACACCGAAATTTTGGTACCTCGTCTGTGAAATCCGGTTTGATTGTATGACTAAAAATAGCTTAATTTATGTTGAAGTTAAATCTACATGTAAGAAATAAGTAGATCTGAACTTTAGTCAGATTGTATTGTTCTATTCAATAATTATGAATAATTGCGGCAAACATTGTATAATAACCACGTGATACTATTACATTGATCTTTTTTTTTTCCTTATTAGTAGATAACATAACAAAATATCTAAGTGACATTACCTTCTTATATATTCATATCTATTGTAGAAAACATGATATGATAATCTTGTGTTACAATACTTTTTCAATATACCGGTATTCTCTTTTTGAAAACCATGCATTCATTCTCACATGAATACAGATGAACAATTAAATAGGACATAGAAAATTTCACACAAAAAACCCTGTCAGTTAAGCTTTTTGCTGTGGTTTCTATTGGCAATATTCAGCAATAGATGGTGTAAACATACTCGTACAATTTGTCCCGTGCCAGCTGTACATGGGGTATATATGTTAAAATGCTAGTCAGATAATTTTGCTCATGTTGAATATTCAGTTTTTGTCACACGGCTAGTCCAACATGACATGCTAGTCAGAAGTGATTCTTACGATAACCTACTACAGTCAGTGTAGGCCATCGTTACTCTTTCCAATATTTTGGAGTGCTTTGTGTTGTAACATTCATATGACATAACCTCATAATAACAGTCGTCGTTGCTTTTCTAAACATCGCATAATTGCCACACTGCTTCCAAAGTTTCCTGGATATCTTGACATTAAATAGTGATGAAAAAAGGTATCAACATGAAAATAATTTAATTCATTAGACAAATTAGACAAACATGAAACAGTAACTACAGAAAATGTCATTTAAAATATTGCCTTCATTTAAAGCAAAGATTATCTAAACAACTTGTAATTCAAGTCAAAACATATATTTCCTTACACACAAGTGCTGATTTTTTAAAACATATCAGCTGATTCTTTATGGAAACAGTAAAAACGTATCATTTTGTTTTTATTGATGAATAAAAAATAAATTTAATGATGTGATTCCGATTGCCTACAAATACTGTAATTTTAATCTCTTTATCAACTCAACTTCATTTGCTTCGCCTCTGTTGAAGTTCGGCTCCACCTTAAGTTGTCATATTTAATTTGATATTGTGCTCCATATGCTAGCATATAGTCTTCGTTGACGGGGTAGAAAGGAACCAGGAAAACTTTGAGAACCGCCTCTCTGATAGTGGGCGTGGTTTAGGCTTTGTAACTTATAATTTAATGATTCGACAAGTTATATTGATCAAAGTCGTCCTGGTTCCCTTCTACCCCGTCAACAAACTGGTTACACTACGGCCTGTAGGGGGAGATCACTGCAGAAAAGTTTGTCCTCAAAATCATTCAAACATTATGCAATTCGTACCAATATTTAAATGGGTATATTCTCGGCACATATTGTCTTGAATTTGTATTAAGTATACCAATCATTTCAATTTTATTTGTTATCCAATTTATTTTTAGTGGACCAGACGTTTCAGTCTTTGTTGCAACAGACAAACATTTAAGAATTTCAGATCTGGCATTATTTTTGTGAATTTATGCATTAGGTTATACTTTTTCACAAAAATATGCAACTTTATTATGAAACAACGAACATATACCAAGAACATGGAGAAAAA